CGGTAAATGAAGTCAGAATACAAAAGCAGATCACCTAAAACCCTTCCCAAGCACTACACTGGTTATTATATACAAACCGTGAATGTTTACCTCAGTGATTAAAGTCTACGACCACTATACCACGAGAAATGTTGGAGGTGCTTATGGCAATGACAAATACAACCACATTTAAGATCATCGTAAATATTATGATGTGCTCTGTTATAAGTATTTATGTATTCCAAAAAGAGGCAATGATGCACCACTCAGAGGCTGTGTGTGGGGGGGAGACGTCCGAGGCCGCCACAGTGACGAGGACGTGTTTATGAATGATGAAAGCTGGAATTACCAGCATATTAACCAAATTAAAAAAAAAATAAAGCTAATAATTTTCCTTTGTAAATGATTGTTTTTGTTTTAGTCTATTTTTTTATTTTTTGTCTCGTTTACATAAAGGCCAATCATGCTCTCTCTCTCTCTCTCTCTCTCTCTCTCTCTCTCTCTCTCTCTCTCTCTCATGAGTACGTTATACACCACAACTCGTATATATACACTTGCCTCAGTTACAAGATGCTTAAGATCAATAAGAAATTTGTAATCACTTGTCAGATTTTTATTGTATTCATAACTATCAACTTGAAGGTATTTTGTACCGGTAGTTTCTCGTTAAGTCAGAGAGAAACATCATATAAATGTTTGATGTTGTTGGCTGGTTATGTTAGTGAACTAAAAGTGTACATTCTATTTTGAGTTTTGTCTGTTCATGTGAAGTTGATGGGGAGTGTAACACCACACCCGTGAGTGAGGAAGCCACTACACCCCGTCGCGAGGGTAAGAGGTCAACCAAAGGATCCTTGACAGATAATTAATTCATTACACAAGAATACAACACAACATCCTCATTGCCAAAGCACATGACCTTTGGTTAAGTGCTAATATGAAGGTCGGTCAAACTAGTTCATCCGGTAATAAAAGGAACGCTCAGCGCCTGCGAATACGAGCTTCTCCCTTTGTAGTCAGCTCACCGACGAAGCACCTGTGAGGACCTCCCTCTGGCTGACACTTTAACGTCAATCTTCTTCTGGTTCAGACAATCAGTTAATGACCGGAAGATCTTGTCAGCCAAGTGATGAAGATCTTATCGGTGATTTAATTTGAGAGACAAGACAAGAGCCGCTTACTCTAACCTAACCTAACCTAACCAAACATAAGCCTTCCAGGTAGCAATAGTGTGGTTAATCTTCAGTTGAAAGAAGCTTGGGGTGAATCTTTAGGTGATTTGAATGCAGTCATGTCTAAGAAAACTCCCTCAATCTCTAAAATCAGTATCGGTCGGATCAGGAAAGGCGGATATTGAGTAGATTAAAGTCACCAAAAGATACAATCGACAGAAAATTAATGAAAAAGAGAAAAAAATAACGACAATAATAAAACTGGTCTCTTAGCAACAAGTATGGTACAGTTTTTTTTAAAGGAATTTCAATCTATTAAAAAAAAATACCTGCTGTTTAAGGTGAGTTCAAGAATGAGGTTTTTAATAATGCTTCTTAACAAACTTGAGGAAGGATTATTAAGTATTATCATCTCAAGATACATTAACAAGTGTCACTGCGTCTGTTAGTCTTATCGTCAGGTTCTCACTACTCTAATATCAAGCGTTGTTATTATACTTAGAGGGTAATCTATGTAATATTGTAATTAAGAGAATTATTATCCATTTACTGAGGTAATTGGCAATAATTATCAGTAATTAACTACGGGTCGATAACCTCATCATCTTGCATGAGGTTGATAAATGTCAGTAATTGGTCTGTTCTCTGAGTGGCACCATTGGTCCTGATGGTACTACTGGTCTTGTGGTTGCACCGTTGGTTCTGATAGCACCATTCATCCTGTTGTCACCATTGGGCTCCTTTTGGCATCTTTGGGCTCCTATTGGCACCATTGGGCTCCTATTGGCACCATTGGGCTCCTGTTGGTACCATTGATCTTCTGTTGGCACCATTGGATTCCTGTTGGTACCAATGAGCTCCTGTTGGCACCATTGGCCAGGATACCCACAAATACTTCGTGTGTCATTAGCCAAATCATTATTATAATCCCTGTTGATACCAGTACAGAGAAGGACTCAGAGTAATTTTCCTTCCTTAATTAATATTCCTGTCCAGAATTAACTGCAGCGAGTTGTTCTATTAATCTAAATAATATGAATTTAATGCTACGTGACCAAAGAAAATGAATTCTAATGTGTGTTAAAAAATAGAATTAAAATTGAATTGCTTTCCATCTATCGTATTAAAAGGACATGTTCTAGCCATAGCTCCAAATCAAAAGCATTTAGAGACCCGAAACCTTACATACATTTTACATTGGACCCTAAATCCTTAAGATTACCCCCTGAACCTTTAAAATGGCCCTTTAACCTCTAAAATGACTTCTGAACCCTCAAAATTACCTCTAGGGTCCTTTAAAATGACCACCTGAGTCCTTAAATTTGCCCCGGAACCCTTAAAATTACCCCTGACCCTTAAGATAACCCCTAAACCCCCTAAATTTCTCATTGAATCCTTAAATAAACACCTTAAATGAACCCTTAACCCCTGAAATTACCCCTTGAAACCTAAAAATTACCCCCTATAACCCTTGAAATATCCCCCTTTAGGCTAATTATTTCCCTTGTAAATATAACAATTGTCTTTGATAAACACACTTACACATCCATCACCTATATATTGGTTTACTTATCGACTATCAGGCAGAGTCGTTCCTCACGTTGTCGGCCGTGTCATTACCTGTGTCGCTCTCTGGCCATATGCTAGCTCTAAACATTTTTTTTTTACATACGAGAAAAAAAATGTAGTTAGGAAAATCTACCCTAGACTCATGTAAAAGGTATATGGTCTATTTACCACGTGTTTTATGTGAGTATATCATGAATAATTGAAATGAATAAGTGATTGAAGTAGGTAATATATATATATATATATATATATATATATATATATATATATATATATATATATATATATATATATATATATATATATATATATATATATATATATATATATAAAATCAACACCTCAACCCGCCAGGATTCGAAAACCTACGGCCCCATGATTGTGACCGGGGAACGCTAACCGCTGGACCATCAGGATACTAAAAGCAGTCCTAGACTCTGTTATATTTCACACAAAGCCTGTTCAACGAGCTTATGGCGCCGTGAACCTCTAATGAGGACTACCCGTATCAGGTAGGTGGTCAGAGTAACGTTTTACCAAATCCGGCTTCGAAACACGAGGATCCATATATATTGGGAAATATATATATATATATATATATATATATATATATATATATATATATATATATATATATATATATATATATATATACACACACACATTTCCCAGACAGAAGATTAGGTCAGTTATTCATAAGGGGGGTCATTCATTATTCAGATTAATAGTATCCAACACTCTGAGTGCACAAGTCCTGTAGAACTCATCCATTATGTTTGAACGTGAAATCCATATACGTGTAGGAAAAAAAATTGTCAAGTTTCTCTTTTAACAATAGTCGCATCTATTGATCAAAATGTTCTTAAATCTGCTATAGTAAGTGAAATATAAATGAGATAGTAACTACGAATAATTCAATAATTTTTGGGTGGGAGAATTTTTGGTTTTGTTTTGAATTACTGATTAATTAAAGATTCGTTTTTGGAGGGAAAGATGGAGAGTAGAGGGTAGGAATCTATTTAATATCTACAGAAAATACATACTAGTTCAAGGGGAGTCTAGAGGTTGGTCATGATTCCCATCTTTATAGGTTAGATCTATATAAGTGTTTTTTGTCACTTATTCACATCCTCAACACTTTTAAAATTTTCAGCACTGCCCCAAAACTTATACAACACCTCTTCACTGCCCCAACACTTATACAACACCTCTGCACTGCCCCAACACTTATACAACACCTCTTCACTGCCCCAACACTTATACAACACCTCTTCACTGCCCCAACACTTATACAACACCTCTTCACTGCCCCAACACTTATACAACACCTCTGCACTGCCCCAACACTTATGCAACATCTCTTCACTGCCCCAACACTTATACAACACCTCTTCACTGCCCCAACACTTATGCAACACCTCTTCACTGCCCCAACACTTATACAACACCTCTTCACTGCCCCAACACTTATACAACACCTCTTCACTGCCCCAACACTTATACAACACCTCTTCACTGCCCCAACACTTATACAACACCTCTGCACTGCCCCAACACTTCCTTGATACTTTTAAATTTTGATTCAACACTTACGCAAGATTCTTACACTCGTCCAGCACTTTTATAAGACTCTCGGCTGTTTTCAATCATGTTCTTAATCACTTACATACTACTTAACCACTTCGATATCGCTCAAACAGTTACATACCATATTGCTCAATCACTTTTCCAATACTGCTCCTGCCTTCCATTAACTCTTTGGCAATGGCTTCCAGCAAGTAATTTTTCTTTCTCAATCAATTTCTTAAACCTCATTACCAAAATGTAACTTTTTTTTATCAATAAAAAAATAAAAAAAATTCCATTAATATTTTTCTAAGATCTCTGAAGCAGTTTCTGAATATTGCTTTTGCCAATAAATACCCAGATTCTAATTCCTGTGATATATTTCTAGAAGTTGTTTAATTCTTCAGTAGTTGTCCGGGAGATTTGTCTTATTACTTCTCCAAGCCTTGAGTTCTTGAACACTTCTTCCATAAGTCTAAAGTGGTCATTTATTTCCGGTGTTTATTTACCTGTAAATGGGGATTTGTAACTTATTGGTGTGTATGTGTGTGTTTTGTGTGCATCTGTATGCAATTGTTTGTGTAGGTGTATGTCTAAGGCATGTGGATCCCCGTATGTCTATTTGTCTGTGTATACATGTGTATCTACAGCACACAGCCTGGTTGCCTATATAAACAAACAAGCCATAAACAGAAAGGGACATTTAAAAGCAAATTTCTATTTGGACACAGTTTATTTTTGTCAATGAATCGTGTTCTATGCCTTTAGAAAGATTTTTTCTTATCATTATCCATATCATTATCATCATTGTTAATTTACAGTAGACAACTTTTTACAGGAATATTGCTTAACTCTTAAAACTAATCGTATACTTTGAAAAAGCGTATTCCATAACGCGAAACTATTGTTGTGTAGTACAAAAAAAAATAATAATAATTTGCGGTAATAATTACAACATCGGTGTTTTGCCATGAAACAATAATGGACATGAGCTGAAGGTATACAATTATTTTTCTATTTATTTTTGTTTGTCAGAAGAATAAACAAAACTAATGCCACATATGACAAAAGTGAAAATTATTACATGTAAAATATAACATCAGAAATTAATTGGTTATAATTTTTTTTGGTGTACGCGATTATGAAAAATAAATTTGTTCTGTATACATATATACATATATCTTAGTAGATATATAAATATATATGTACATAAACTTGTATATAATAGAGAGGAAGAAAGAAGAAGAAAATAATCAATGGATATAAAATAATCGGCTTTTAAAAACTATAAAATTTGAGGAATAAGCTACAGTCATTTCCTATGTTGTAAAAATCTCGCATTTTCTATGAAATGCTTCAAAGATTCCAGCCACGTGTGGGATGAGCGGCTGGCGACTCACAAAACACCGGAGAAGGGATATTTTTGGAGGGAGGGGGGGAGGGGGTGATTTTGGAGTGGGAGGGAGGGAGGACGAAGGGATGCAGGAGGAGTTAAGGGATGATATTGGAGGGCGAGGAGGAGGGAGTGGTACAAGGGGTGGAACTGTGTGGGGGTGATGAGGGAGTAGATGAAGAGGTGAAGGAGGAGTAATGGTATATTGGTGTGGGAATAGAAAGGGACTTACAGAGAGGAGGAAGGGGAGAGAAAAGAAATAATAAAAATAGGAGGAGGAGAAGGGATGAAGAATATTATGGAGGATAGATGAAAGGGGGGGGGGAGCTGAGGAGATGGACGGGTTTGGATAGGGGGTAGTTGGGTGGGATAGGGGGTTGTTTTAAGTGGAGGAGGTGGAGGAGGGTGTATGTAAGAGGGGGGATATTGTGTGTGGGGGTGGAGAAGCATGTATGTGAGGGGGAGGAGCATGTATGTGAGGGGGAGGAGCATGTACGTGAGGGGGGAGGAGGAGGTTGTTTCTCTTACTGCTACGCAACAAATCTACCGCCATGATTACAGTATCATCGCTATAACTTTTTACACCATTTAATAAAGCCATATGGACAGCATTGCACAAAATGAGGCTCGTTTACATCCGCATTCACCTTGGCCAAGCAGCATCAACACACACCATCATGTACAGTACATACGAGCTGAGCGCCTCTCTCTGGCAGGAGGCTAGATCAAATACCTTCTTTTTCCGATTTTTTTTTATATATAATAATTCTGTAATGCAAATGTTATCAAGCAACGGAGAAGTATGCATTTTGGATGCAATAGAAAGTAGAGTGTCTGGTATAAAGTTATATTGTTTTCCTCTTCTGATTTTTAAAAGATCCTGAAGTGGATAAATTTGATTAGAATTTCTTCGTTACACGATTAAAACAAAACAAAAAAATAATAAATATTTGTATTGTACACATAACTCTGTAATGGCCTTTGAGGAAATTTTGATGCGCCTTCTGAAAGCTTTTTTGAATAATGTTATGCGATTTATTTATTTTTTAATTTTACACCATCGAAAAAATTTAATGTACTTTATAAGTATTGAGGAAAGTGTGTGTGTGTGTGTGTGTGTGTGTGTGTGTGTGTGTGGTGAGTGTGTCAGCAAATTGTAGTGTACATATCTCCATACATATCTGCTTGCACATGTGTCTGTTTGCACGGTACTGAAGACGTGTCTTATACAACACTCTAATAAAAAAGCCTTCATATTATCTGTTAGCTATTGAAGGAATAGTCACGTGACTCCTTAGTTTCTTTTACACTATTGAGGGGAAAATCAAACCTGTATTGTGTCAGCTATTGAGGAAAGTGTGGTTCACCTTTGAGGAGAGATTAATAATACATATTACAAGGTGTAAAACACTGCCCGTACATATTTTAGCATCACATACAATGGATGTCCCGTGGAGGGAAACCTACTCAACATAAGGTAACTCGTAAACCACATAACGTTACATGGCGTACCAGTTTAACTTGTTCTTACTACAATTTGAATAACAATTAATCAGGGAATCATTTTGGCAATGAGTTAAAAGAAAGAACAAATATAATAATTTTATCTTAACAATAAAACAGAGAAGTGAAAAAAATTCTAACTTACAAATCATAACAACTAATCAGGGGTCGCACTGAGCTTTGGCAAACTGATTAAGATTATCTTCTTACACGTGATCACAACTCGATCTTGTCCAAGTTAACTGACGACTCTGATTTGCGTAATTTCTACGGAGTTTTTCTTCTTTTATACTGAATATATATTTTTTTACACAATCTGATTGTGTGAAGGAAGTATTTCATCCCGATTAAGCTAAATTATAATTTCTCTTGTGATGTGAGTATAAGTTATGTTCAACCAAGGAGCTATTTGAAGACTATCGGAGAAAGAAGCCTTGAGATGATTTTCGTGAAAGCTGTGGTGCCCAGGACGAGGCCAAGTCTCTCTGTATTACAAGCACTTAACACTGTTCTTCCCAAGGTATCTTCTGTCTCTCTTACACTGTCTCATTTATTATCTACAGCACACCTTCTCCTCGAGTGAAACCACCACCGTCATCACACAACTACTCACCCCAAGAATTTATAATCACTTAACACTGATTCTTCCAGATAACTTCCATTTCATTATATTGTGAATCACTTCTTTTCTTCAAGGTTTTCAGACCAGGTATAGAACTTTTCTCAACACACAGTAGATTTTCTCACTCATGAATAAGTCTCTTTATGATTCCATGAGGGAAGGTGTGCCGAAAATAGCTCTGAGTAAGGTCTGACCCTCCTCTTATAATTGCCACTCACAATACACATCCTTATTGTTGTGATAATCCACAGGTTTATGTCCTTCACATAGTAACTTATACAAGGAACAAGTCACACTGATGGTGACAACGTTAACTGAATCACTTAACACATTTCTATTTCATTTCCATGTTCTTATCACAACCCTTCTCATAATTGTTAAGCCATCTCTTGTATGTCTCCTTATCTTCTTAGTTTTTCGTCTTTTCTTCTCTTGAACACAATCGGGGAAACTGTCAAGGTGAGCTGAGATACCCCAAGGCATTTTCTCGGCATCTACTTTGTTTTTCTTCCTCTTGTCCTCTTCTCTGAACATCTCTTCTTCTTTCCATTCCCATCATCTTGCATTTCAAGTCATATATATATATTTATCTCTTGGGTACTCCTGGGACCTCAGAAATCAACGTGTAGTTTACCTCAAGTCGTCTGGCGTTGGGAGCAGCAGTCCGTAAAGAGTTGTCCAGGTCCGGTCGATGAGTGACAGGGGGGGTTTGGTCCGCCGGTACACCCTAGTCGCAGTATCTCATACCGATAAACACAGCCATCCACTCTCGCTGGCTACGTCATCTGCATATGAGTTACCACGACCAGGCTGATCCCTGCAACAGTTAAGAGTGCCATTAGTGTCGGGATGTCAAAGTGGAATTAGATGTTATAAGGAACATTAGCATTAAGATGAAGAAGAAGAAAAAAATCGCATTAAGATGATGATGTAGCCATTAGAATATTAAAGTAGTATTAATGTTTGGGGGGAAGGTAACATTTGTAGAGTCAACGTTAAAGTGAAAAGCAGTAATATGGCGAAAAAAATGTCTTCTATAAATATGGGTAAATACAACTGCCATTAGGAAACTAAAGAATATTTCAAAATAGTGAAAGTATATGAGACAGTACTAAGTATGCTTAAGTAATACACAGTGGTATCAGGATGTTAAGATATATTTCAAAAGTGTAAATTAACCTTAAAGTAACGATAGTATAATTATAGACCTGTGCCCAAGTGAGCTAATGCCAGCAAAAAGATAAGTTATGTTACATTGATGGTGAAATAAGACCTAGTTAATATTTCTTGATTATAAATAATAAATAAGATCCCGCTAAATTAATACATCATGTTTTAACCTGAAGGGAAACATCCTATGTGACTTAATAACAAAGAGCTACGGTAAAAGTCATCAGATCTTAATGTGGGATATCAAACACCACTCTGCCAATCCTTATATATATAATAAAAAATAAATGGTTGAGTTATGTAGTATCCTGAATGAGATATCAAATATTACTTAAAAACAAATTATATATAATTATAATAGAATTTGACTTTTGTTAATTAAAGGGTTATGAAACATTTAGGACCTTTAGGCTGTTGATTGAAGTTTGTACATATAATAACCTTCCAGTATCTTTAACTATCATATCAGGCGAAAGAAATGAAAAATACAATCTCTTTCACCAACATTTACAACATAGCAGATATAGTCTTTCTTCCACCGCCATAACACAATCGACTCATTTCACTATTTATCCCAATTCAAATATCACATTATTTTCCCTCCTGTATCGTCATAAATAGATACTTGATAAAATAGGATGATTTCCCTTACATTTTACTGCACCATCTACTAGCCAACACGGATGCTAAAACGCAATTGTCTTCATGGCTTCAACACACACGACTACACCATCACCACCCTGATACATTATTACAGAACACTAACACTACACACGGGGTATTTAGTACAGAGTCTGGACAGTGTACAGGTTATGAATGTCTTGAATGCTTTGTATTTGATACTTGTTTTTCTGTTCCTCTTTGTTTTCGTTGTTTAGTTTGTTTATTGGTATACCTTAAGGGTAGTGGATAAGGAGAGAGGGATATATGGACGCTTGGATGTTTGGGTAGAGAGAGAGAGAGAGAGAGAGAGAGAGAGAGGCAAACAGAAGGATTAGAGAAACAGAGAGAGCGAAACTAAGAGAGAAACAAAAGAGCGAGAAAGTAACAGAGCTAGACAAACACAGAGGAGAGAGAGAGAGAGAGAGAGAGAGAGAGAGAGAGAGAGAGAGAGAGAGAGAGTCTGCACCATCTCCCGCGGTCATGACTCAACATACAAGATCTGCATGTGTTTACTCATACACACGACACCTATTATCAACATAATAAATGGCAGGCAGGTGATAAGGGCCAAGTGATGTAAGAACCCAACATGTTAGCTGCTCTCTCTCTCCACACCCCCCCTCTCTCTCTCTCTCTCTCTCTCGCTTTCTCTCTCTTTCTCTCTCACACACATATATTTTTCTTAATGATCTCGTCGTTGTCATTATATATCATTATATCATTTGGTGTTTGTAACTCATATATTTATTTCCTTTTTATTTTTTTGTATCTCTTCTGTTATCATATTTCTCATTCTCATTTTTGTCTTAATTTTCTTGCGTCTTTCTTTTCTTTTTTTATATTTTACCTCTCCTCTTTTTACACCCTTATACCTTCATTCATTCATCTGTGTTTACGTTGTCTTTTTTTTTTAACTTATAAACTGCTTGGCGTTCCCTTCATCATCGGTGTCCGTTAGTGTTTAGCTGAGTAATCTTAAACAGATGATAATTTTGCATATTCTCACTTTGCACGTGTGGATTTTCCTATATATATATGTATATATATGTGTGTGTGTGTGTGTGTGTGTGTGTGTGTGTGTGTGTGTGTGTGTGTGTGTGTGTGCATTTTCACTTCTAACTTTCCCATAAACTTGTCACAACACCAAACTCCCTCCTCCTCCTCCTCCTCCTCCTTTTCCTGTCACACCTGCCTCATACATCTTACACCCACACCTGTTACTAAGGCTTTCAGGTATACATGTTAGTTATAAACATAATTTAGAAATTAATGATAAATATATGATAGAGATAATATTATAATATTTAGGAATTTAACCATGTTTTAACTAGTAACAAAACGATACGAATGATAATGAATGAGAACGTAGACAAAATAAAGATAAATTATATAAGTTGTATCGTTCCTTGATGTTAATTAATGGGTATAAATATGTTGAGAATGTATATATGAAAAAGCCGAAAACAAATGAGAGGAAGGGATGAAAAGGCGGAGACATTATTTAGACAGAAAATAATGATTAATAGAGACTGAAGTAAATGGAAAACAAAAATAAAGGATAGATAAAAGAGAAGTAAAAGAGTAAGATAAATTTACAGAATGATGAAACGGATAGATGTGTCTTGTTGTATGGATAGACTAGCATGGTGGAGAGTGTGACTGGACCATCCTATGTTTGTTAATGAGAAGGGAATTAATGGACTTAAATACTGAATCTACAGTTTCTCTGACAGTAATTTTATTTTACGACTGGTGTATATTAAGTATAAGATATATAACTGGATAATTATACGGTATATTCATTATATAAGTTATATGAATATGAATCGTGTTTTATAGGAGGTATATATATATATATATATATATATATATATATATATATATATATATATATATATATATATATATATATATATATATATATATATATATATATATATATATATATATATATATATATATATGTGTGTGTATGTATGTAATGGTTTATTAAAATGGTTATATTTACACACACACCCAAATAAAATTATATATATATATATATAAAAGAAATTCACCCGCAGGTCTTTTTGTATTACAACATAAATAACGTGAAACAAATTCTCTGGGAAAAAAATGTTAACGTTAAGGGTTATCACGAACAAAATGGCGCCGGAACGAACCCCAACACGCGAGGCGACAAAAACCAGGAGAACGTTTTGTTTTATTGTTATTCGCCGAGAAAATTATCAGTTCCAGTACATGACAGAACTCTCATTGGCGGAGGGGATTTGGAGGACAAAAAAGGTGGTCTGTGATTGGTAGATAGGGAGGATGATACAATATTCACGTTTTCTGGGACTTATTCCATTGGTTAATGGAGTTTATGGCCATCTTTTAGGGGGAGCACTGGATGAATGATCAATGGAGCTATGAAGTAAATCTAACTAAAAACGAGGTTTTATAGAATGAATATATAGCTTGTAAAAAGATTCCAAGCTTTGGTAAACTCTGATCACTGATTGGTGGTTGTGGTGTATGACGTAATCCTCCTGCTAAAGCTACTCCAATTATAAATCAATTCGGGATAATCTAGACCAATGACGTGCTGTCAACTTATCCCAGCGTTATGCGACCTAACAGCTTAAGTTATTGCCCTTGTGTTGATATGATGAGGTTATTTTTACTCCAGGACGATCGTTCTATTGCTGAGAGCCAGCCAGGTATTGTGACGTGGTAGAACCTTATGGGAGTAATCTACTGTTACATGGTATAATAAAATCTCTCTCTCTCTCTCTCTCTCTCTCTCTCTCTCTCTCTCTCTCTCTCTCTCTCTCTCTCTGTATAGTAGAAGTTGTCACGTGACGTACATCAGGAAAATCTAAGGACGTATAAATCAGATGGAGTAGTTCATAATAGCCAGCCATTTTTCCCATCATTCTCAGTAAGCTGTGTGAAGGTATAAAGAAAACATTTATCACAACAAGTCTCGCGTCAAGTTGAGAATACCAATATTATGCAATACAGGAAGGTTATAGCTATTAGCGTCTGTGTCTTAGTATATATTAACTTCATTTCTCTTTACTTTCACACAAGTATTAAGTCTACCAGTTTTAACCTCCCGTTGTGTTTCCGCTTACTGTTTCTCTGGATGGAAAAAAATCAACACTTAAATTCATCCATTTTTCATGACAATGGAACCAATTATATAATTACCCCGGAGCGCAGGTAAGTTAACAACACACATAATGAATAAATTGTTAGTCTTGTAGAATTCGCCTTATCTATATACTGTACAATAAAGTCCTCGGGGCGGCAATTTCACACGACTATAAATGGGAAAAAATGAGAGAAAAAACACATTGAAACTATACACAATAGGTTCGTCATCATTTTTCTGCCGGTCGACGTTCACATCAATCAAGTAGTTTCTAAAAATATGAAACAAGGACTTGCCGCGGAAGCTCGCGTGACTGGCGGTAATAAAGACAGCAAATGGCGTGTATTCCAAAGCTGTACTCAAACCCCGAGTTAATGCTTGAGAGGCCACCAGCTAGTCAGCCAGCCAAGCCAGCCAACCAAGAAGGTCAGCTACAGTAAGCCAGTCAGTCAACCAAGCCAATTAGTCAGCCAGTTTTGCAACCGTGATGGACTGACAAACTGACGGACAAAACAATACCTGAAAGCTTCTCACATGCTCTCTCGCTAATCTCTTACCTAACGAGAGAGAGAGAACACATGGTCGTACATTACCCATAAATCAAGAGACTTAGGTTCACCATCCTCGTCGTCCACGTGAACTTTTATGGTCTTATTATTATTTGACGTCTTTATCGCCTCCTCCAGGAATTCGACGAGGCTTGGTTGGTCTTCGTTATCCAAGTATTTACTTTTCTTAGGAGGTCATAACTGTAATAGTGTTTTAGTGGATGGAGGGAGGGAGAGGTAGGGTAGGAAGGGGGGGGTTGGGGGTTAGGATGGGGAATGGGGGGATGGGGTGGGATG